CAAGTGATGATGATATAGCTGAGATAGATAGACTGGTAGATAAACAGATATAGTGTAAGTGATAATACAATTCATTAATCTGTCTACACATATGTATTTGTTTTATAAAATATATTTTCTTTAATTCCATGTAGACAATAAGTTCCCCAATTTTGAGAACCTTGAGCACTGAGGAACATGATCTGCTGATGAGCATAGGATTGTCACAAGACGTCACAGTCAAGAAAGGTAATAAGTGGTGCATATTCGTACACTGTATTAGTTATCTGTTTCATATTAAGTGTCATATTCATTATATCATCTTTGATATGGATCATTTGTGATGTATACAATGCATTTAACATGTATTCTTTGTTTACACAATATTCAAACGAAAATGACAAATGACTTCTTTGTGTTAGTTAATTTGTGACAAATCCTTTTATAATCTTTCAGGTCCAAGAAATAGTGACAGTCTGATTTTAGAAGGTTCCCCTAATGAGGTCATGAATGTATTTTCGGACATAACTGATTTTTTAAATATAAAAAAAGATGAGCAGGTTCAAGAGAAGAAAGCTGAATTATATCAAAATCGGGTACAGTGGTAAGCGATGTCACGTTTTATCATAAGAATTTAGTGGGCTGCTTTACATTAACTTATCACATTCCCTGCTCCGTTACTGTTGTAAATTTCACATTTAAGGAGATTTATATTTTATTTTTCTGTCTAGGTGTTGGTATGATGGTAAATGCAAACAAATGGTTGCCTTTGATCCAATCACAAACATGTTGATAGAGGACGCCCATCAAAAAAATCTCCCAAGCGTCAGCTATGAGCTTAATGATAATGGACATAAACAGTCTTGTCAGATTGATTTCAACACCGAGGAGGAAATTATATTAACTACTGGTGCTAGGAATAAAGTTGTACGAGAAGACTTAGAATTGAAAGGTATGTGTGTCAAGTATACAGTCAGCTGGGGTACATGTGGTAATTCAATAAATGTGGATAATTTATAATATGACTATGACTACCTCCATCAGGACAAGGAGATCATCCATCAGGCAAATGATAAAAATAAATTGAAAACATCAAATAAAATTTATGCCTGCTTTGTAGACCTCAAAAAAGCCTTTGATAGTGTTTGGCATGAAGGTCTTTTTTATAAATTGTTGAAAAATGGTGTAAACGGTAATATGTACAAAATTATAAAAGATATGTATGGTGATGTGAAATATAAGGTAAAAACAAGAAATGGTTTAACAGAATCATTTTGTTCAAATATCGGAGTAAAACAAGGATGCAACCTTAGCCCAAGTCTGTTTAATTTATTTATTAATGACCTGCCTGATATTTTTGATAATGATCATTGTGACCCTACACTGTTACACAACACACCCATTAATTGCCTTCTTTATGCAGATGATATTGTGATTCTTTCAAAATCCAAAAGGGGATTACAAAACTGTTTGGATAAACTATCAGCCTACACATCAAAATGGCAGTTGTCTGTCAACACAGATAAAACAAAAATAATGATATTCAATAAGTGTAACAGACTCCTTAACAAGGAAATATTCTTTTATGAAGGAAAAGAAATCAATATAGTTAAAGATTTCAATTATCTTGGCTTAACTATGAGTCCAAATGGTAAATTTAAAGATGCAATGAAAAACCTAAAAAGAAAA